ACTATCTCAATTGGAAGACATATCCATATCTCGGTTTGTGTATTCCGATCCGATGTCACCGGTTCAAATACATGCCTTTGCTGACGCCTCCATAAGAGCGTATGGAGCGTGCGTCTATATACGTAGCAGAACTGCAGAAGGTTTAAAAGTATCATTGTTGACTTCGAAATCCAAAGTAGCGCCGCTCAAGACCAAAACGCTCCCAAGGCTTGAGTTATGTGCCGCTCACCTTCTCGCAGATCTCTGTCACAGAATCAAGCCCCTATTAAACGTGCCCATTGAACGAGTCGTTTATTGGTCGGATTCAGAGGTAACTCTCCATTGGATCCGGTCTCATCCATCGTCGTTGTCGACTTTCGTTTCAAATAGAGTGGCTGAGATTCAAGAGTGGTCAGATGATGCTACGTGGCGGCATGTACCCACGAAACAGAACCCAGCAGATATTGTCTCAAGAGGTTGTGACGTCGACGAAATCGTTCAGTCAATTTGGTTCGAAGGACCATCATTTCTGAAAGAGGAAGAAGAAAACTGGCCCAAGAACGCTCATTTCGAACACTCCGATGATCTTCAGCTGGAAAAGAGGAAGACTGCGGTCGGGCTGACCGCGGCTGTGCGAAGTTCGGAGCTGTTAGATGTCATCGAGGGATTCTCGTCACACCTCAAACTGCTTAGAGTGTTTGTGTATGTGTTCCGCTTTATAAGAAAATGTGAAGACCCAAGCCTAAAATTCGAAAAAACTATCTCACCGACCGAATACAATGAAGCCTTTTATAAAATTGTCGAAATCGTCCAGCATCACGAGTATCAAGGAGAAATCGAAAAGGTTAGGAAAGGATCTACAATTGGTCCTAGTCTTCAGCGGTTGAACCCATTCATCCATGAAGACACAGGGACTTGGTGTAACTTTTCGTTGTTGCGAGTGGGGGGGCGACTAGCTAAAGCTCCTATATCATACGATGCCAAGTTTCCTCTGCTTTTGACTAAGCGCTCGCAATTCGTGCGAAGCTATATTCGTCATCTGCACCATTCGAATTTTCATGTCGGCCCACGAGCATTTGTGAGCATCCTTCGACAGAGCGTGTGGATAGTGAACGCTCAGGAGGTCTGCCGTCAGACAGTTCGATCATGTATGCGCTGTTTTAAATGCAAGCCTCGATTGCTGACGCAACTCATGGGAATTTACCCGCAGATCGACTCCGTGCTCTCCGCCCATTTTCAATTTGCGGCGTTGATTTTTGTGGATCAGTGCACACGACATTGAAAATTCGCGGAAGGCCCCCATACAAGTCATACATTGCGCTTTTTGTTTGTTTTGCGTCCAAGGCGGTTCACCTAGAAATAGTTTCCGATCTAACCACTGATTGTTTTTTGTTGGCTTTTCAAAGGTTCGTCGGGCGCCGAGGATATCCCCAAGTCGTTCATTGCGACAACGGGACGAACTTCGTCGGAGCGAGCCGCCATCTCAGCGCTCTGCGGATCAGGCTCAAGGAGCAGGGAGACGCAATTCGCGACTTTGCGTCAAAAAACGGATGCGAATTTGCGTTCATACCGCCGCGAGCTCCTCACATGGGAGGGCTATGGGAGGCAGGTGTAAAAACTGCCAAGAGCCTACTCCTACGGGCGGTAGGCAGCGCGCTCCTAACCGCCGAAGAGCTCGCCACAGTCCTCGTCGGCATCGAGGCCATAATGAACTCGAGGCCGCTGGGAGCCATCAGCCAAGATCCAAGCGACGGCGAGGCCCTAACACCCGGGCACCTGCTGACAGGCGGGTCGCTCATCGCCCCCCCAGCACTGCGGACTCCGGACCAGGAGAGTCTCAGTTGCTTGCGGCGATGGCGACTTGTCTCGTCAGTCAGGCAAGCGTTTTGGCAGCGATGGTCCCGCGAATATGTCCTGGGGCTGCAAATTCGGGGCAAATGGCACCAGCAGCAACCGAACCTCGAGGAAGGAGACCTCGTCATCGTGGCCGAGGACAATCTGCCGCCTCAGGAGTGGCTCGTAGGGAGGGTCATAGCCACGCACGCAGGAGAGGACGGCATGGTCAGGGTCGTCGAAATAAGGACTAGCACTGGAGCGGTTTTTCGGCGGCCCATACACAAATTAGCGCCGCTCCCAATGTGTTGAAGCCGATGCAGGCGTTCAACGGGGCCGGTGTTGCGTGACCTTCCATCCATGGCCACAATTATTAGTTATAGATGGAATTATGAATTATGAATTATGAAGTCTAGTGTAAGTTAGGCTAGGGCAAAGCGGGAGCGCAATAAAAGCTCGCTCTCTCGCTCTTGGCGAATTCGCCCCGCTTTGCCACCGTAGGATAGCTAGAGTAAGAGATTTGAATTGTGAAGAAAATATAGTTGTTCGCCAACCTTGAAATAGATCGAGCGTATCAAGTTTTTCGCCCCGCCAAATAAATAATTTAAATTACAGCCACCCAAAGCTTTCGGTAACTGATTAGAAAAACTCTTCTAATATACCTGTAAGTTTTAGAGAGAGAGCACACACACATGGATACGCATGACCACGGCTAACACCGGATTATCTTGATCTTCTTTTCTTTTTCTTTTTGTTTAGGGACTTTTTTTTTGGGCATATATAGTGCATAAATCAAATTATTCCATATTTAACTTCTATATATTATTCTTTATTCAATATATATTCGTTTATTCAGGTTCGATGGGGGTAGGTCTTGATACATAGACCAAGGTGTAGGCGCACGGAAAAAGCTCCAAGCAGCTGGTTTCGTTTCACGGGCAAAAGGGGCAACGGCCTAACAAGCGCATATATGTTCTTTGGGAGTAAATGCACAATGGGCCACAAAGAGGTTCATACGAGTTCTGCCCGTTCCGTTGGGGTTTATTTAATACACTTAACCTGCACATGCCATGATCTGACTTTTAGGTTAGGGCGAAGCACGGTGACAAAAAAATTCGGGTCAGGGTCTCTTTTTTATTGGACGAGTCTGGTTATTCCTTGTCATTAGCAAGGAAGATCACTTGGCACTTTTTGTTTAGGGCTCTTGGCCCGGTGGCTGGATGGACCACTCTCGGTCGCGACGACTCGCGTTGGGGCGGCGAAGAGCTCGCTGCTGCCGGCGCTAAAGCTCGGAAACGGCTGAGGGGCCGCTCTCTGTCGGCGCTGAAGCTCGGGAACTGCTGAAGGGCTCGATGTGGTGGATGGCGTTGGGGCTTTAGGTGGAGTTTCCCAACTCTACGGTGGACCGCTTTGGTGGAGGGCGTTGGGGCGTTGGGGGGGAGCGTCCCAACTCTACGGTGGCCCGCTTTGGGGCGATCGTCGGAAAAAACTGCACCATCCTCTGCACAGTGGATGGGGGATTGATTTCTCTACTGGGTGGATGGGGTCTTGCTTTCGAAAGGCCGGCGGATCGTGCTGATCTACGGAGAACTTTTATTTGATTTTTAACTTTTATTAAATTTTTTTCTTGAGAGCTGGATAAGTACGTCCGTACTGTTCGGATACCATGAGGAGAGAGCGAGCTGCTTTTCCCGGAAATCAAGGCCTCATCCCATCGTTCTTCCCTTTTTCTTTCCGATTTGTCAAAATGACAGTGGGAGGAAGAGGCCGATTAAAACGTCAGCCAAAAGAAATAATATAATAAATAATATGGCGTGTTAAAAGCTTAGCTTTCTTGAACCCAACAGAAGACTTAGCCTATTCGCGTAGCATAATTTTAGGGAAAATTAAGACGTCGATGCAAACAATTTTTTTTCTTACAACAAGCGCACTACATAATCCCCCCCACTTAAATCACGCTTGGGGTGGGACACCCAAAGTGGGATCCGCTGACTGATCACATTGAAGGTCGGGCGTTTACTCTCGGCTATTTTGTAGGCCGGGCATTGAATGATCGCGCTGAAGACCGTTCATTGAATGACTGCTCGCGCCGAGGGCCGGGCATTTGCTATCCTCTTCTGGGTCTGGGTACGAAATATATAGCCGGGCTGGTTGGTCTTCGGGAGGATTCCGACGCTCACTCGGCCTCTACCGCTCACGACGCGCTGCTCGCCGCGCCCGTGTCGCTCTCTCTCCAGCGATTTCTACCCAGCTTCGGCTCGGTTCCCTTTCTCTGCCGTCTTGCCGCGGCGCTCTCCTCCTCGTGTGGGCGCGGCGGCCACGTGTTGACGCTATGGCTAGGGAGGTTAGGGAAGCCAGCCTCGGCTGTACGTGAATAATGGTCGACCTCACGGGCGGTTTTACAGAGATATACAGCTATTATTGGCCTAATGGTTCCGACTGGCATAGTACAGTCCCGATTGCCCTGCTACTCGTTATACCCGATACTCAAAATGAGTATTGGGGTATATTAGATTTGTGGTGAAAATGGATGTGTGTAACGTCCAGAAGGAATCGTTTCCGACCCCATAAAGTATATATATTCTTGATCAGCATCAATAGCCGAGTCGATTAAGCCATGTCTGTCTGTCCGTCTGTCCGTCCGTCCGTCTGTCCGTCTGTCCGTCCCCTTCAGCGCCTAATGCTCAAAGACTATAAGAGCTAGAGCAACGATGTTTTGGATCCAGACTTCTGTGATATGTCACTGCTACAAAAATATTTCAAAACTTTGCCCCGCCCACTTCCGCCTCCACAAAGGACGAAAATCTGTGGCATCCACAATTTCGACGATACGAGAAAACCAAAAACGCAGAAACGTAGAGAATGACCATATCTTTTAGACTGCAGAATCTGAATTGGATCGTATTATTATTATAGCCAGCATCAAGAAAACAATTTCATTTTTTCTCCGCCCTGTCTCTCTCTAACCCTGTCTCCGACCCCCGTAGCAATTATTAGTTCGACAGTGTCCCGTGAGTGCTATCCGGCGATTGCCTAGGCACCCTCGGCGATGCTTGTCGATATCCCCGATCCCCGTAGCAATTCTTAGTTCGAAAGTGTCGCGTGAGTACTATCCGGCGATTGCCTAGGTGCCCTCGGCGACGATTGTCGATACCTCCGGCCCCGTAATAATTCTTAGTTCGACAGTGTCCCGTGAGTGCTATCCGGTGATTACCGGAAGCATTACATTTAGAAGGTGTACGAGATGGATGGGCATGCATTCATGTGTTGTGTTCATGATCGACAGATCTAGCAGAGGAACTCCCGCAAGTGTCCCAGAGAGGGCAGATAGGTGTCTGGGATCATGTCCACTTTGCTGTGTCCTTCGTCATTGCAAATCTGGCGCACCTCTTTCAAGATGCTGACGCCGGTGCCCACGAAAAGCGATTGGAAGCCGCAGTTGCTGGCGAACAGAATGTCCGTGTAGAGACTGGAATAGGCGGGTGAGGTAAGAGCAGGTGGGGCAGGAGGACGGACCACTTACGTGTCGCCAACCATCAGCGTGGACTCCCGCTTGAGGACGCCGCATTGCAGCAGCTGCTCCACCATCAGGGGATTCGGCTTGCCCAAAATCAGCGGCATTCGGCCAGTGATGGCCTTCACGGCGGCCACCATGGCACCGGCGCCCACAATCATCCGGTTTTTGCCCACCGGATAGGCGGTGTCCAGACAGGTGCCCAGGAAGAGGACCTTCGGCTCCTGGAGGTACGAACTGGCCCTGATTATCTTCGGCACATTGAAGCTCTCATCCTTGCCGATTATCACGGCGCCCACCTCGTGATCCAGGTACATATCCTTGGCAAACTGTTCCATGGGCTTGAGCAGCTTCTCCTTGCCCACAGAGAAGCTGCAGATGTTCTGCCTTGGCCAGCTCATCGACAATGGCCGACTCCCCGACGATGTACGCCTTCTTTTTGAACCCCTTCGCGCTGAGGAACCTGGCCACGGACAGCGCCGAGCTCAGTATCTGCTCTTCCTGGATCTCGTAGCCGAACTGGTGCGCCTTCGCGGCCAGATCCTTGGTGAGCAGACCCGAATGGTTGGTCGCCACCAGCACCTGCCTGCCCGAAGCTCTTGATCATATTAAAGGTCTCCACTGCCCCATTGATCGGCCGGTTCAGGTGCCACAGAACACCGTCGGCATCGAATATCACCGATTCGATTGTGGTCAGCCACTGGCGCACCTTCTCCTTGGGTATTTTGGTCAGATCCGTGCAGGTACGCTTGAACATGGCTCAGCACGGGACTACAACTGCTCGTAGGTGATATTTTGAAACAACAATAAAACAGTCAAACCACAATTGACATTCCACACAGCCAGTACTAGATTGTGAGTTTTCTCAGAAACCAAGATCTCAGATCCAATCAAAAAGCACTGTTTGAACAGAGCAAGCCCAGCACCGAGAAATAATAGGTACACATCGTATTAACCGCTCTCAGGACCCTTCTCGGGATCCCCCCTAAAGGGCGCGCCAGTGCCACATAAATTTAATTATCAAACAATTATACATTCCCCCCACAGCGAGGGGTATCAAAAGTACTGCCGTAAGAGCGTGGTGTCTATCTGTCTGTCTAAAGTAATGAATGTAGTCTAAGGGGTAAGGTGTAAGGGGTAAGGTGTCAGGTGTAGGGGCCTTAATAGTTTCGGGAGGGTATGAATGGCAGCAAGTCCGAGAGCCTGTGCAGATACAGGTCTGGTATCTGCTGGTACGCAATGGCCTGCTTAGAGGCCAGGGCATGGCGGACATCCTGGACACTGCTGACGCCAGTGCCCACCAGTAGAGTGTGAAAGCCGCAGTTGTAGCCGAACTGCATATCCGTGTACATGCTGGGCGGGAGGGGGGAAAGGCATGAAAGTAAGCGAAAATACCATATAGGAGTGAGAAACTCACGTGTCGCCCACCAGCAGGGTGCGTTCCGGCTCGATGACACCCTGACGTATCAGATGGGAGCAGACATAGGGACTGGGCTTGCCGCAGGTGAACGGGGCCCGCTTCGCCACCGCCTGTATGGCAGCCACCACGACTCCCGCCCCGGGCACTTGACGGTCGGCAGCCACTGGAAAGGCGCGATCGCGATTGGTGGCCAAAAAGAGAGTCCTTGGGTCCCGGAGGTATATGCTGGCCTTGGTCAGCTTCAGCACATTGAGGCCCAAGTCCATGCCGACGGCCACGGCGCCCACATTCGCATCTAAGTACATTTTTTACACCTGGTCCACCATGGAGTTCTCCTGCGTGGAGGCCAAGTCCAGCGGCAGACTCTCGATCCCGACCTGCCGCAGCTCGTCCTTGATGCCCTGGCCACCCACGATGTAGACCTTGCGATTGAACTTCCGCTCTCGCATATAGCGGGCCAGAGCCTGCGCCGAGGAGAGGATCTCGTTCTCGGCTATCAGGAAGCCCATGCTGTGTGCCTTCTTGCTCAGGGCCCGGCACGAGGCCTCCGAGTTGTTGGTGCAGATGAACGAATTCTTGCCCATCGCCCGCAGGGCATTGAACGTATCGGCAGCTCCCGTGAGTGCCTGATCGTGGCGCCACAGCACCCCATCCGCGGCGTAGACGATCGTGTCGAAGGTCTTCAGCAGTTGGCGGACATTATATATGTTTGGTTCCAGCACCTGGCAGCCGCCCATCCGCAGCACTCGCCGCGACAAAACGAAATTCATTCTCAGTCCGTATCCGAATCAATGTGGGCTGATGATCGACTAAGTATCCTCTAAACTCAGGGCATACTATGGCTTGAAATCTCCCCTGAAATCTTGCACTCTGCTTGTGGCTGCTAAAATCAATGGAAAGTTTGTCCCGGGACCCCGTGACCTTTGAGCTGTCGCACTTAATTCACTAAACTTTTGCTCATTTTGCTACTTTTGGCCAAGACCGGAATGGACCCTGGCTGTGGTTCGGCTTGGGTTTGGGCTGGGGTTTGGGCTTGGGTGCGGGTCCGGGTCCGGGGGCAAACATCGCGGACAACTTTTAATTGTGCGCAACGACTGAAGGCCAAACGGAGCATCCCCCTCCCCCGTACCCAGTCCTGGGGGAGCCAGTTCTCTGCCAAGGATTCGCGCCTTTTCGACCAGCAGCCAACGCCCCGATGCGCCAATTAAAATGGCATTCAGGCTTTATTGTTGACAGGTCCTGTCTCCTACGAGCGACCAAATCCGACACTTGTCCACTGCCCAGCGCCCAGAGACAGGGACAGAGGGAGAGAGAGACATTCCCTCGCACCTTGACATAAATTCATTAAATCTTGTCCGGGCTTTCAAATCTGCCGCAGTTTAACGGATCTCTGTTGAATGGCCCCCGGTCAAATGGCGGCTCACGGCTCTTAAAATAGAGGGCGAAAAATCGACGCAAATTGGCCAACAACCGGGGGGGAGCAGAGCTCGAGACCGTGCCGGGGATAAGCCGCTGCCTCCGGGCCAAGGCAAAAAGCCAGGAAACGCGACTTTCGAAATTTCCGCCCGCCCCGCGATATGATAATTTGCGTGAGAGGAAAAACGAAAGATTGGGGATATTTTTGAAGCCCCCAGTACATGATTTTCTCGCTCAGGGGAAAAGGAAACACTCACATGTCAATAAAGTATTTACTTAGACCCACGCAGACTCAAACGTCCCATCGAACATAAAAAATACAAAAATTTGCTGAATAACACATCATTAAAATTTGTATATAAACCTAATCACTAAACTCTTAAAATATGTAGTAAGCCAATGTAAATATCACTAATATTAGATCATAGTTTAAGTAAAGCTGATTTGTAATAAAAAAAAAAAATAAAAAAAAAAATTACTTAGATTTAAATCTATTAAAAATCTATTAAATTTGTAAGAATATATTTACGAGTGTGTCGAATATTTTCAGATTAATTTTACTACAATTTCCATAGTCGGTATCTCAGGGCCTCGCCAATTAATTGCAGCCCAAAAGGAAATCCTCCTTGAAAGTTTTGTCGCCTGTGAAATATATCTAAGCACCTTCTGTCTCTTTACGTAAGGTTTGAGTGTGTGTGGATTTGCAGCATAACTCAATTTCCTCAAGTGGAAAGCGCTTTACATTTTTCCCAGTTTTCGCAGTTTACCCAACACTAGATGGGGCCCACTGATGGATGGCTTGGGGCGGAAGTAGAAGCAGAAGCAGAAGCAGAAGCAGAGGCAAGTGGCAAATCCACATGGAATGCATTCTCCATTCTCTCTGCAAACAATACAAGAGCGGAGCGGAACAACAAACGAGCAAATTCCACTCGACTAGGTATCGAGAGGCAATAGTATCCAAATGGAATTTTAAGCACAAAGTTTGACCAAACTTTTTTCGGAACCCAGAAAAAAGCAGAAAACGAACCAAGAACCGAGCACCGAGAAACGGAAACTTTTTTATTAAGTTTACAAGAAAAAGTTAATTTCTTGGGCCTCCCTCGGAGTTCAGTGGGGGCCCTGGGGCTGTTGTTTTTTCCCTAATTAATACCTCGAGACGAAGGCTGAAATCCACTTGATTTATATGCTAATCAGTGGCCGGTCGCCGCAATCCACTCTGCCTGGGGGGAGGGGCACTAGTTCCGGCTCGAGCTCGGGGCATCGACAGTCGCTTAAATCATGTTACGGGTTTTTTCTCTCTTCCGAATGGTGGCCCCCTATCTGGTGGCATGGTGACAACAGTGGCCAACTTTAAATTATCCGATATCTGCGTATAAATCATCCGAAGATAGCATCATCAGCTGGGTTCACAAGGCTTTCGAGTTGAATTTCACAAGCTTGACACAATTGAAACGTTTTTGTTGTTTCATGAAGCACAAGCAATACATACCCCCCGACTCCTCACACCCCTTCCCGAATGCTAAACATCTAAGCTGTATTTCTAAGGATTTTACCACAAGCACGGACATGACACAACGGTTTTTAACGAAGCCTGATCGGTAATAATAACAAATTCATGCCTTTCGATGTAGGCGCGAAACTTTTTAACACACAGTACAGCTGCTAAACACTCTTTTTCTGTAACCGAGTAATTTCGTTGGCATTGCTTTAGCTTTCTAGACATATATGCGATCGGAACCTCGTTACCTTCTACATCTTTTTGTATAAGTACTCCGCCCACGCCAGTATGACTCGCATCGCAGTGAATAGCGAATGGAATCCGAAAATTTGGACTATGCAAAACGGGAGCACTGCAAAGTTTACCTTTCAGGTCTTTAAATGCAAGTTGGACCTCATTCGTCCATTCAAACTTACGTTTCTGTTTCAACGTGTCCGACAATGGAGCGGCCAGACCGGCATAATTTCGAATGAATTTATGATACCAGCCAGTTACTCCTAAAAACCTTCGTACGTATTTGACTGAACGAGGTGTTGGGAAATCCCGAATGGCTGAAACCTTTTCTGGATCGGTTTTAATAGTTCCATCCCCAATGACATGGCCAAGGTATCTTACTTCCTTCAAACAAAATTTACTTTTTTCGACATTAATTGTTAACCCAGATTGTTTTAACCGAGATGCTAACTGGGATAACACACGCACATGGATTTCGAAGATACAACGAGCAAATCATCTAGATAGACGAACACTTCATGTCGTAACTGAGAGGGTATAACTTTATCCATTAATTTACACATGGTTTGTGGAGCGTTGGTTAGTCCAAATGGCATCACTGTGTATTGATACAGGGGTCTCCCCGGGACGGTGAACGCGGTCTTTTCGCGAGCGTCTGAAGTCAATGGGATCTGCCAATAGGCATCCTTCAGGTCGATGCTGGAAATATATTCAGCTTTTGGTGACGGCTTAATATTCCATCGATCAAAGGCATGGGATATGCGCTCTTCACTGTGACTTCGTTGACCTTACGGCTGTCGAGACATATTCTCACCTTTCCAGGTTTCCTAACGAGAACAACTGGTGACGACCATGGACTATCGGACTCCTCAATAACGCCAAGCGCTATCATTCTATCTACTTCCTCAAAAATGACCTTTTCGACGGCAGGAGATACCGAATAGTGCCGCTGTTTAATTGGCTTTGCATCCCCTATATCGATATCGTGACTTATCCAGCTGGTTCGACCTAGACCTTCTTTTTCGAATGACGGGAACTTTTGGATAGCCTCTGACAACATGGCCTGTTGCGAATCCGTTAGGCTGCATATGGTCTTCCTTGGCTAAGGCAGCAACTTCGGGCTTGGCATTCTGGGTTACTACACCTGGAGGTAACAATTTAAATGCAGCCCAAAAGTCCATGCCAAGGT